TCTAGTCGAGAGGTGGCGTCCCTGCCCATGACAGGGAGGTTGGACTAGATGATCTCTAAGGTCCCTTCCAGCCTAGGCCATTCTATGATAACATCCTCATAGGAAAACTCAAGAAATGTGGGATAGATAATTGGACTGTGAGGTGGTTTGTTAAGGGGTTTAACAAGAGAGTTCAGAGGGTTGTGATCAGCAGCACAGAGTCAAGTTGGAGGCCTGTGACCAGTGGTGTTAGCCAGGGATTACTGCTGGGTCCAGTTTTGTCCAACATCTTCATCAATGACCTAGATGAGGGGATAGAATGTGCCTTCAGCAAGTTCATTGATGATGGGAAACTGGGGGGAGTGGCTGACACACAGGAAGGCTGTGCTGCCACCCAGTGAGATCCAGACAGACTAGAGAGCTGGGCAAACATGAACCTCATGAAGTTCAATAAGGAAAAGTGTAGAGTCCTGCACCTGGGAAGGAGTAACACCAGGCACCAGTACAGATTAGGGGACGTGCTGCTCGAAAGCAGCCCCATGGAGAAAGACCTTGGAGTCCCAGTGGACAGTGAGTTGTCCATGGGACAGCAAAGGGCCCTTGTGGCCAAGAGGGCCAATGGGATCCTGGGGTGCCTTAAGAAAAGTGTGTCCAGCAGGTGTAGGGAGGTTCTTCTCCCCCTCTACTCTGCCCTGGTGAGACCGCACCTGGAATACTGTGTCCAGTTTTGGGCTCCCCAATTCAAGAGAGACAGGGATCTATTGAAGAGAGTGCAATGCAAATCTATGAGGATGATTAAGGGACTTAGACATTTCTCCTGTGAAGACAGACTGAGAGAACTGGGGCTGTTTAGTCTTGAGAAAAGAAGGCTGAAAGTGGATATTGTTAATGTATATAAATACCTGAGGAGTGGATGGCAAGAGGAAGGTGCCAGTCTCTTCACAGTGGTGCCTGGTAATAGGACAAGGGATAATGGATGGAAGCTTGTAAGCTAGAACATAGGAAGTTCCACCTCAACATTGGGGAGAAAATTCTTCACTGTGAGGGTGACTGAGCACTAGAACAGGCTGCCCAGAGAGGGCGTGGAGTCTCCTTCTCTGGAGACATTCAAAACCTGCCTAAACATGTTGTTGTATGGCTGCCCTAGGTGATCCTGCTCTGACGGGAGGGTTGAACTAGATGATCTCTAGAGGTCCCTTCCAACTCCTGACATTCTGTGATTCTGTATTTCACATGATGTAGGAATGATACTGTTTCTGCTTTTCGATAAAAAGTCAGCCCAAGAGAGATGTAAAACTTTACACAGAACATTAAAGATGAGCGATATAGTAAGGGAGAAGGAGTCGTCACAGGCCATAGCTTGTATCGTACAGCACAGAGAGAGCTCAGGGTACGGAGGGCTCTTCAGGTGAAATGTGTCAGGGCTAGTCTGGGCAGGCGCACGATGACACGTTGTTCTGCCCTGCGGTGACCCTCAGTGCACGGTGAAATTAATGGACGCCTGTTCTTTCTGGTTTTGTTTTCTCTCCCACAAGGCCGTCTGGTACCGTTAGCTGTCCCATTTGCATGGATGGCTACTCAGAGGTAAGGATCCACATGTTGGTGTCGTTTCTGCTTTGTCGGAGGGAGGACGGGGCAGAGGCTGATCTGCACGACTCTGGTGGGCTGTGTGGGAGGCTACAGGGAGCCGGCTTGAAGCACAAACTTTGGGTTGAAGGCGAAACTTGTTTGCAAGCCCAAGGCACTGCTCAGTGGTGTGCGCAGAGGGAGAAACATTGTCCAAGACGGCACCGAAAGATCTCTGGGTTCCTTATTATGATGGGAGTGTTGTCCTTCTTCCAGAGGCTCCAAGTCCTAATTGCCTGGTGCCAAAAGACCAGTAAAGCTGAATTTGTTACTCCAGGTCTCTGTTGTGTTTTCTTTCCTTCCAGATCGTGCAAAGTGGACGACTAATTGTGTCAACCAAGTGTGGCCACGTCTTCTGCAGTCAGTGCCTCCGTGATTCTCTTAGAAATGCCAACTCTTGCCCAACTTGTAGGAAGAAACTTACTCACAGACAATATCACCCCATTTATATATGAGCACTTCTATTTCTCAGGACAGACTCTACTGGATTTGGGGGAAAAAAGGTCTTGTTTCCAGTGCTCTGAAGATTTAAAGAGCAGCAGGCTGTAAACTTCCAAATAAAACTGATTTTCTTTGGAGAAGAACTTGTACATACACAGACAGCTTTTTTATGATCCAAGTTGCTTCTTGTTATGTCTCTGATTATAATGTTAAATGTATGACTGTCTCTAAAATAGACCAGCAGCCTCTATATTAGAAAGAAAGCAATTACTCCATTTCCTTCTACTTTTTAAATGCTTAAATAAGAGAGGTCTGAATATTTTGTTTTTTCTTACTCTTTAAATTATTCCCATCAATGCGTAAGCATATAGGAAAAAAAAAGCATACCTTTTGAAATGCACATAAGCAACTTGCCATTTCATGACTCTCTTGTTTTCACCCTGTAAGAAGCTGGTGACTATTGCTTTCTGCTGTACCATCTTGGCCCAAGCAAAGCAAGCTCTGTACCGATGAATTGTTTTATCGTAAATCAATACTAGATTGACAAACAAGGTCATGCAATAAAATCAGCTGCTGTGACGCAGCAGTCAGGTGTTTAAGCAGAAGGCTGGAACATAAAGATTTCTTTTTGAACTCCATGAGGTCTGCAGTACAGACAAATTGCAACATGTACAGCGTGAAAATACTTCTTGGAATGTTTTAACTGCCGGGAATTCCTGTATTTGAACCAAGGCACTGAATTTATCTTCTGATGTGGTGAGACGGTCTTTTGGGTTTACTCCTGTTCTGTAGCGCTCTCTCCTGATAACCAAGGAGAACGTCTTCTCTAGGCTGGCTAGTGAAGAATGGGAAACAAACTGTGCGCTGTCCTGTTGCCAGCTCAACACCAAACCACCTACAGGTCTTCTTACTGCATCAAGTGCTCCTGGCATAGTGCAACAAGTTCAGAGTGTTCACTTTGTTCTTCTGTTCAGGTGTGCCACTGACAGCTGGCTGGTTTGGGCTTGCTGCATAGGACTAAAACTGAAATCATTGTATTGCCATGGATTCGAGAAGCGGAGGCTTTAAAGATGTTTGGTAGCAATCTTGTTCTGGCAGCGTTTTGAGAGAGAAGTTAAATCTCCCTTTGCTCTGAGAGTTATACACCTTTCTTTAAATGCATAGTTTTTGTACAAGAAGTCAAATCAGATACGTGTGCTAGGAGAGATTCCTCTGTTTAAGCAAGGCAGGAATATGTAGAATTAAGCACTGTTTTCTAGATGCTTTTCTTTCTTCCAGGGCTGAGTTATTAATGTCGGCTTTAAACCTGTTAACAGCTTTCTCAAGTTCTGTATTGAAGGTTGCAACCCAAAAGCAAAAGGTTTTGTTGATTGAGGTTTTTTACTTAGCATGCTTTGGGATGTTTCTGGATGTAGGAGTCCAGGCAGTTTTGTTCCCTTAAGGCTGGGTGGAGAAATGCAAAACCTTCCCCAGCCTGGTTTGGAGAAGCTCTGGTCCGGCGCTGTGATTGGGAATATGCAGTGTCTGCACCGTGGCAATACGTAAACTGCTAAAAAGTCACACGTGTTTCGTTACCTCATGCTCCCGTTGGTAATGCAGACTAGAAGGAAGGACTGCGGCAGTCCCGGGGAAGCGTGGTGACAACAGCGGCTGCATTTGTGCCCCAAAGGGCAGCTCATTGATGAAACAATTCTGGAGATTGCTTAAAGCATCAATTCTATGAAGAGAAGCAGCCCAATATGAGAAGTGTTGAGATGCAGAACGGCCACAGAAAAGGCTTTCTCCCGGTAGCTTTAAAAGAAGAAAAAGAACAGTGGCCAGTTTTGTGAATGTTAGAGAGGGACGGGCAGAGGAGGATTGAAGGGATTGCCTCGGGGGAGGGTGAGGGCGAGTCACGTGTCTGTGCATTGTTCACAGTGTACTAGCCATAGCCTAAAATGACTTTGCACAACTCCCTCCATGTAGATATCACTTCAGAGTTTGTGTCTCAGTAAATAGGTCTCACTGGAATTTAGATATCACAAACTGCAAGATGTTTAACAGGAAACTTTTTTTAGCTTTTGTGCACCCTGTGAAGTGCCACAAATGTGCATCTCAGAATAAGTTTTAAGTCTCAATACATGGAAGAATACTGAATTGCCTTACATGTTTTCTTTTGGTGGTGTGTTTTGGTGTTTTTTTTTTTCAAGGGAGAAAAAAGCAAAAGTTAATATATTTGAGTTCCAGAAATGTTTCACATTGGCAAGACCTGATAGAGACTTTTCCGTAATATAAATGTATGTCTTGTTGTATAGAGTTAAATTTTTCCTATATTTAATTGTATTCATGTCTGTCTGTCCCATCCATGTTGGCCTCTCCTGGTAGGCAAACACTTCTTTTAACAAGTGGAAATAAAACTGTTGATTTGATCAGTCAGACACACTCATTCTTCTAGTCTCGTGGTATGAATTGTTGGTTTGGGCAGAAAAAAATCGTAAATCCCCAAAGCTTTCAGTTCTCTGGGCAAGTACATGTCTTCCGGGCAAAGGAGAAAAGCGCTGCCTTGGGTGGGAGCGATGAGGAGACGAGAGGGTGCAGCCTCTGCTCGGGGCTGGGGCTGTGGAGGGCGCAGAGGTGGCCTCATGGGTGGGGGGAGCCCAGGAGCCGGAGAGGAGGCGGCTCACTCAAAGGGCAGCAGGGTGTTGGGGTATCTCCTGCCTGTGAAGTTGTTGATGAAGCTCACTGTCATGGGTTTGGGTCTAGTGGGTTTTTTTGTAAAAGCAGGGGTAGACTCGTGTGCCAACTCGAGAGCCTTCCCTGGCCCCAGGTAGGAGTTGGACCTGTCTCTGGCAGGGCCAGGCCAGTCAGCCCTCTGCCCTCAGGGTACTTCAGAGGTGACCCCCTTGTTCTCTCTCTCTCCTTTGAGTTTGTCTCGTGTTGAGCTCTCCTGTCTTTAATGTTGAGGAGTTTTTCCTGTTGGAGGAGGGGGAGGGGATGTGGCCCTGAGGATGAAGAGAAGGAGAAGAGTCCCAGAGGACAAGGAGAGGGAGAAGGCTGCTGG